GTGTGTTTGACCAGAAACTAACACATCTTTATGAAGAAGAAATTAGCCTTGGGATGACAACACAATCAGTAACAATAAACTCTATGAACACATAAAAATGAGTCAACTCAAACAGGAAGATGATTCACCCAAATAAATAAATAAATAGATCTTTATTAACAAGTTAAGGTCAAAATTGTAATGAATGGCATACCTCAACAGCAGTTCGGCCTCTTAGAACCCGTTCCTTGTCAATTCCCCAAGTAAGGCATTCATGGTTTCTTCTTCCCTCTCTATCTGTGAAGAAAATGTCAGGATTTTTACGGCCAATTTCTATGATCCATTGCGGAAGGGGAATATATACATCATCACCTACATTTCCTCCACACTCATGGAAAGACATAACTACCTGTGGGGAAAAGGACATTCAATCAGAATATTGTAATACATAATTTTGTTTTGGAGTGGGTACTGCATTATATACTAAAAGCAACTGATTTAGATCTGTGTGGAGTTCCGAAAATGTATCAAGAAAGAGAGAAAAAAGAAAGAAAGAAACAGATGACAAGCCATCAAGATATGATAGGTTATTTTATTAATTTCACAAGGTGTCTGTACAACTCACCTGAAGTTTGAGCTTTAGGCTATGCACCATTTGGAAAAGCATCTTGTAACCACTCCAGTTATATTGCTGTGGGACATTAGCTTCTACTATTCCCCACCAGCAATCAACCATAACTCCATCAACGTTAACAGACTTCAGGGTCCTGAGCTGGTTCATAAGCTCATCAGGATCAACCAACTCACACTCCATATTGATAGTTCCTAGCTGCATTCCAGAGAAAATGTTAGAAAACATGGTATCTCACTTTCTAAACCATAATATCATTGTATAGATGAAAGGGAAAGAATAAAGGAATGAAGTGCAAAATGGCATTTTACAAAAATATTTAGAAAAATAAGGGTACATTAGAAAACATAAACATTAGCCTTATAATTTCAGATTGATTTAGAAAACCCAATTTTCTTATTCATAGAGCAATCACATGGACATTTGAATTCTATTGACTAACTTCCCTCTTAAATTATAAATTTCTATAGTGCATCGAAATAATGATATTTTTCATTTCAATTTCATGTTTCTATGTGGTCAAGTTGGAAAAGAGAATTTTCATAATTAAGCTATTTTTGGACATCCTGAAAATGGGCAGAGCAATAAAGGAGGAATTACCAATAAGAGCAAATTAAAGGCGTTGTGAAGAAGAAAAGATATAAACTCACAGGTAGCATCACATATACAGGAACATACGGAGTGTCAGTAAAATCTCTTTCCTGCAATTTTGGGGGAACGTTGGAAACCTACAAGAAGATCAGAAAGTCATGCATACATTTAGATTATTAAATATCTACAGATAGTGATGTGATCATGTTAATTTTGGATGCGAACAAGGAAAGGGTATATTCAATAAACACCGATAGAATTATTTATCTATGAAACTACACTCCTTGCGTGACATTAAGAATAACTTCGGCCTCAATATACCATAGCTTTGTTTAAGTATCACGCAAACAACATTGCCTGGTAATGGATGCAAAAGTTCTCGCGCTACTTGTGATGGTTGAACCAACTCATCTAATAAAAACTCAAGTTGTTAGAATGGGATACATTTA